TGGATCTCTCTTTGTATTTGGGTTTAAAGATTCAATAAAGAATCGTGATAAATCCTCCAAATGGCTTAATAAACTTTGATTAATAAAAGTAAATGAAGATGAGGGAAATGATCGTGTCTCATTACTGATTGGTAATGGTAATGGTGCTAATAGAGTATTTCTTTCACCAAAAAAACGATGTTGTGTGAACTCTATAACACCTCTTCTTTGTAATGGGCTAAACTCCGCTCCCCTTTGTGATGGGCTAAATTCCGATACCCTTTGTGATGGGCTAAGATCTACTCTTCTTTGCTCTACAGATGGTGCAGATGCTGAACGTACCATAGATTTACTACTTGTATTTGGTGAGGTATCAGATTTAGATTGGTTGATAGGATTGCTTGTACAAAATACTGAATCTTTTTCTAAGGAGAATTCCCAGTAGAGAGCTTTTTGAAGAGTGCAAAGAGAAGTGAAAACAGAAAGACCTAAATCTTTGGACCATTCCTCCAATACAGCAACTGGGATTTCTTGGGAATGACCCTTAATTAAGCTATTTAAAATTAAAACCAATGATTTAATTACATCAATATTAGTTTGAATTTGTTCCCTATTATTCATTTCTTCTGGAACCCACTCTCTAATAATTCTTGAATTTCTCCAACCACAAAGTGCGTCCAATTTCATAAAATGAGTATTTAATATATTGATAATTGATTTCAATACGATTGGAGTATTTTCAACTGAAAGAGATTTGAAGATCATTAACTCTTTGAAAATAAATTGTGGATTTGTATAGATCTCTAATAATTTATCTAAACCTCCCTCTTGAAGGAAAATACGGTCATGCTCGCCATTTGAAATAAAAAGAGTAATAAACTTGTTTATAAAATTGAACATTTGGCAGTGGATTGACTTCTCTGTTACTGGTTGCTTTGGATTATTTGTAGTTGGTGCCATTGCTATAATATCATCTAATAAGCCAACGATTTCTCTAATAGTTACGATTTTCAACTCTGGATGGTGTCTAATGAGTTCGTCTATACTATTACAAATAGTATTAAGAGTGGAGATATTGAGAGAATTAACATTTTTTGGATTTACAATAACCTTGAGAAGCTTTTTAATTGCTGTGCTTTCGACTACCTTGGTTTTGAATGCCGAATTTAAACTAAATGCATTTAAGGCCTCAGATGATAGAATTAACAAATCTGGATTTAATTCTTTGTTTAAAATATATTCAAATACCAAATCCACAATACCAGTATTATTAATAGCTGAAAAACAAGTTGGTTCGCTTTGTACAAGATCGGTTGGAATACCAAAAGTATCTCCTATTAAAACTGGTGAAAATGCATCAGAATGTTCCAAAACCTTTTTAAGAGTTTCATGAATTGGACTGTCAACGATTTCATTTAAAATTGCCCTTTGAAGTCCATTTGCAATTGAAATTGTAATTAAAATACTCATCAAACCGTGTAATGCAAGTGATTTGTGGGTTACAATTTTTGGTATATAACCATCCGATAAAATATTTTTATCAAATGTATAATTTTTACTTGTAGAAGCTATATCCATTGGTCGATGATCATCCTCACCTGATGTTGTAGTGGCAGTAGTTAAAACATTTGACGAAGCATCAGTAGTGGAAGCAGATTTTTTAATTCTTTTTTTCTTTTCATCAATTGTTGGTGATGTGTTAATGTTGTCTTTGGTTGGTTGTCTTTTGGTGAAATAATTATTTTCTACGACCAAATCTTCTTTTGATTCTTCTGGCTTTTGATTTTTTACAATGAAATCAACCTCTTCCCCTATTGATTGAATTAATGCTCTTACATAACCTTGCTCGCTAAACATTTCGATATTATAAGGCTTGACTAATAATAATGAATGTATTATTTGTAAAGCATTAATTTGAAATCTAATGTAGTTGACTTGTGTTGAACGATTTTTGATCAAAGGTAATATAGATTGAAAAACACCAGTTTCATGTAAAATTGATTTATTTGAAAGTTTAAAAACAAAGAAAAAGATGGCATTAATAAAAGCCTTGGTGATGAATGGATCTTTGACCTCACCAATAATAACACAAACACACTTTCTAATGATACTTGGAAAGAAACCTTGAGTAAATGTTTTTATAATCATTTGATTAAAGATTGCTGTTTGAAGATGAGCTGTAAGACAAGCAAATGCATAAACTGCAGAAACAGAAACTTCCTCTGGAAGATTTGAATAATTCTTTATGACGTCTAAAAGCTCATTGAAAAAATCTGGTTCTGAAAGAACATTGGATGATGGGCTATAATATTGTGTTACTACTGGATGATAAAGGGTACTAATTGAAACCAATCTTAAATGAATCCATTTCTTTCTAAATTGAAAATTAGAAAAGTTTTTCAATACACTAACTCTAAAGTGAACGAAAAAATGATCCTCCTCTGGTATACCAAGTTCTTGGATTAATTTACTGGAAATTTCAAAACTACTTGCATTAATTTTATCAATATCATATAATTTAATTATGGTTTTACCATTTTCTTCAACTGTTGAAATATTGATTTTATTATAAAGTATTGAGGTTGGGTCTATAAAAATTGTTGGTTGGTTATTATTACTATGTACAGATGGTAATGGCTTTTTGTTTTTATAAAATTCGAAATATAATGTATTTAATGATTTGGGTATCTAAAATTAAAAAAATTAAAAATTAAAAATTAAAAATTAAAAATTAAAAATTAAAAATTAATATATTATTTTTATAAATATTAACATATTAATTATAAAACCCACATTAATATTTTCTTTACAACATTCATTTAATTCTAAATTATCCTCACTAAACCCATGTGACATTACAGAAAGCTTTGAAAGAAATTGAGAAATTACACTAAGATTATCTTTGACATATCTCTTTTTAAGAAATAATACATTTAATAGTTTCATTAGCTCAACTAAAATATCAAAATTTTGAAATGCAAATAATTGTAGTATTTCCTGTGATATTAAAAATAAAAAAAATAAAAAAATAAAAAAATAAAAAAATAAAAAAAGTTAGTATTTATTGAGTTCAATATTAGCAAAAATGGTTTAAACTAATTACCTGTGAGGAACAAAAAGCACTACCACTACCACTACTACAATTTCTAAGTAATGCCTTTAAGAATTTAATAATTGAAATAAGGTATGGTTTATCTATTTGGAAGTCCTCACGCCCTTCAGTTATTAAAATACATGGAATGGTAGATGATATATTTTTTTGAGTAGCTGATGAAGGTAAAGATGTAGTAGCTGTTGATGATGTTGATGATGGGTAATATTTTGTTGCTATCCTATTAATTACTGAATCTATCCTATCCATAACATCTGCCCAGTGGTTAAAATCCTCCTATAGTTTATAGAAATAAAGTAAAAAGAAAAAATAATGAAAATATTAATATAGGAATTTTTTTGACATTGTAAAAAAGAAAGTTTAATCCATACCGATTTACCAAAAGGCCACTCCCTGAAGCTAGTCAATATATCTTTAAATTGATCTTCTGGACAATGTACCAATGTATCAATAAAACTCTTTTCAACGGCATTCTGTGAATATAAAGAAATATTATGGTTAGAAAAATAATTTTTTTTTTAAATTTTTATATTTGATTTTTTTTTACTTACGACTTTATAAACCTTTGTTTGTTTTCCTTTCATTTTTTTTTAATAGATAGTTAATTTAATAAGGTGTATTATTTGTCTATTTAATATTATACATTAATTATGTTGGTGGTGAAGATATACAACTAATATATGAAATGAATGTGTGGTGTGTCAATTCAAGAAATAAACAAATAGTAAAGAAAAAAAAGAGATAGAAATTAGAAATTGAAAAAAAATTTAAAATAAAATAAATAAAAAAATAAAAAAAAGAGATTAAAAATATATTAAATTTTAATTTAATTAATAATTAAAAAAATTAAAGTTTTTTGTTGATATGTATTTTTTTTTTTTATTTGTTTGTGTGTTACTGTGTATGTAAGTGATTGAAGAAATAAATATAAATTTTTTAAAAAATTAATAGAAAAATAAATTTAAAAAAAATTGAAAAAATAATAAAAATTTAAAAAAAAAAATTAATTTTTTTTTTTAATTAAACAATAAAATTTTAAGTCGCGATGTGTATATTTTCTTTAATTCTATTTGATTTCTATATTGACTATAATTGTGAAACTATAGATAGATATAAAAAAAAATAAAGAAAGAGATAAAATTAATAAATGGAACAAATACACACAAGTATAATAAATGATATACACAATAAAAAAAAAGTAATATTTAAATTTAATTTTAAAAAAAATTTCTTGTTTTTTTATTTTTAAATTAAATGAAAAAAATTTTAAAAAAAAAAAAAAAAAAATATTGAAAATTTTTTTTTTTATAATAAATTTTTACAAATGGGTGGTAATGTTATGTAAGTTGGAGGGGTTAAGTATGCATAGACACTGTTTTGGCCCTAATCAAATAAAATATTATATATTATAATAAATTAAAAGAAAAAAATAAAAAAGAGGAGAATAAAAAATAAAAAATAATAAACAATGAATTATTAATTAATTCATTTCCCAATAAACAAAACTAGATTCATAAAAGACCATTTATGAATAAAAGGAGATATTAGACCCAAATCAATAAATAAATTAATCAAATAATTAGAAAAAAATAAAATAAAAAAAAATAAAAAAATAAAAAAAAATGTTTTTTTTTTTTTTTTAATTTTTTTTAATTTTTTTTCATTCGCCAACTTTTTTTTTTTTTTTTTTTTTTTTCGTTTTAATATCATTATTTGTTTATCATTTTGTTTTTATCATAGTATTAATAGTAAAAATAATAAATTAATCAATATGCTAAGAAATTCTACAAGATTATTAAATAAAATTAAAAATGATAGAGTATTTATAAAAGGTTTTCCAAAAGAGGATTCAGAGTTAGCCAAATCAGGTCAAGAATATGTCAAATCATTACACAAAGAAGAGCCAACTATATTTTCAGGTTCAAAGGTTGATAGACCAGCAATAAAATACGAATTTTTTGAACAACCCATCAGAACTGCAGGAATTACAGATAGAGATAAAATTAGAGAAATCGAAGGTCAAGCCATTTCATTTAAAAAGCAAACTATGATCGATGTAATCAAACAAAAAATAAGAGAAAACCCAGAAAAGAAAGAGTATTTTCAAGATTTCTACAGAAAGTACAGGAAAGAAGAGATTGATAAAATAATTTCAAAAGAGATATCCACAAGAGATAATAATTTTGTTTATGACGAGATTTCATTAGATAGACCAAATAATCCAGAGGAGGTTTTAAAATTATATCTAGATAGAATCAACATCAAACCAGAACTCATATTAAGCGAAAAACAGATTGCACTCACCGAATATTTAACAAGTTTTATTAAAGATCCAGAATCAATAAAAGAAATCAATAAATTATGTAAAGAAGAATTTGTAATGGCAAGAGATTATTACATTCAAGGCAAATATCAAGAGGCATTTGAAATATTTTCAAAGCTAACCGAGAAATATTCACATGGTTTTTCACATATATTTTTAGGTGAAATGTATTATACAGGTTCAACAGGTATTGTTAAACAAGATTTTAATATGGCATTCGAACATTTTACAAAAGCCTCTCACTTTAGAATACCTGTAGCATTTGGTATGCTTGGTGAATTAACTTATAAAGGTTTAGCCGAACCAAACATCAAATTAGTGGCTAAAGATATCAATGACAATATAGTCAATGAAGAAATAGAGGATGATAATGATAATGAAGAAGAAGAAGAAGAAGATAAAAATCTCTATACATTCCCAATGGTTTATTTCAATATTGCATCAGATTTAAATTTAAAGTCATCAATCGAACAATTGGTATTCATCTATATGAAGTTAAATAATGTTCATGGTGCAGTTCATCACTTAAAGCGTTTAGCCTCAAAACATAATGACATCAATGCTTGTACAACTATTGGCACACTTTTATTGGAAGATCACGACAATTTCTCTAAAAATATTTTACTTTTTGCAAGCAAAATGGGTGATACCAATGCTCAAACCCATCTTGGTAGATACTATTACAACTGTAAAAACCCAGATTACAAAAACTCATTTTTACTTTGGGAATCTGCTGCTCTTGAAGGAAATGCTGATGCTCAATTCTATCTTGGTGGTATGTATCAACAAGGTTTAATTGTAGAAAGAAGTTCCAAAAAAGCTTTTGAGTTTTATGAAAAATCAGCAAGAGGTGGCAATAGTAACTCTCAATTTTTAATTGGAAAGGCCTATTACGAAGGTGAAGAACTCCCAAAAAATGAAAAACTAGGTTTACAATTTATTACTAAATCATCCCATTCAAAGAACGAACTAGCTATAGAATATTTAAATAATATAAAAAATAATAAAAACAATAATAATAATAATAACGAGGATGGAAATTAAACATATAAAACAATACCACTATATTTAAAAATAAATATTTTTTATTTTGTGGGTTATTTTAAAACACTGCCACACAAAATAAAATTATAAAAACCACAGTTGTGTATACTTAAAATTTTTAAAAGTTTATTTACATGTATTTTTATTTATTTAAAAACCTTTGATATAATTTAATTTTTAATATTTAAATTAATAATAATAAAAATTATAAATAAAATACAATGATTTTTTTTTTTTATAAATAATATAATTTAACTAAAATTCTTTATTATAAAAAAAAAATTAAAATTAAAAAAAGTGTTGATATTTGAATTTAGCTTTTTTAACCAGTGAATAAACCAGTTGAAAATTTAGAATAGTCGGCCCCCTTTATAAAGTCTGGATCATTGCATTGATACATTTGATTTAAGTCGCTATATGAAACAGAGGTAATATCTTTAGAGAAACCAAATTGAGTTAATAATTCGATTGGATTTGAATGATAAGAAACAAACTCCTCTTTGAAAAAGTTGTATGTGGTATTATTTTGTTGATGTTGGTTGTTATTGTTATAATTATAAAAAGCTGAAGATGATGATGTTGATGTTGATGATGATAAAGATGGGGATAAACTACCACCGGCTATGTTACTACCAGAGCCACCAGCACCACTTGATTTCTTGAATGGGGCAACAGTATGGATTAATAGCTTACTATTTGGAGCTGAAAGCATACCGACAGCACCTAATAGAGTGCCAATTTCCTCTTCAGTTAAATACATTAAAAGACCTTCCATAACCCAAAGTGTATGCATGGCAGGATTGAAACCGGCGTCGAGAAGAGATGAAATCCAACGGTCACCTTCTTTAACAATATCACCACTAATATGATTTATTTTACATTGGCTATGAGGCTTTATAACTTGAGTTGATTTTTCTAAAACTCTCTTTTTAAATTCGATGACTTGTGGTAAATCAATTTCAAAAACAGATGCATGTTTTGGAATTGGTAATCTAAGAGCACGGCTATCTAAACCAGCACCACAAATAACGACTTGAGTATAAAAGAAAGCAGTGGCATTTAAATTTGCAATTGAACCCTTTTGTGAAAGACCATCCATTATAATTTGATCAATATATTTAGTACGAAAAGCAACTCTTTTAATTGTTTTGTGATTTTGGAAATCAAACCATGATTGAACTGGATGTGATTTTAATATAAAATCTTGGAAAGTTAAATTATTATTATTATTTATATTATTATTACTAGAATTTAAACTATTATTACTTGAATTTAAATTATTTTTATTATTATTATATGTATTGCTATTGTGTTGTTTAATGTTAAAATATGGTTGTTGTGGTAAAATTGAAAAAAATAATTGGTAGCTATCTAAAAGTAATTGTTTGGCTTCTTCGGTATCTAAATAGAAAATTGCAAATGGGTCATATGTACAGAGTTGGTCTTTAATGAAAGAGAGATCACTTTCGGGAATTAAGTCTTGAATATAGTAGCCTTTATCTTTTAATTTATTTATATTTTCAATTTCTTTAATTTGATTAATACCCTCATTGGTACTAGTGTTTATATTTTGTTGACTGTTGTGTAATTGTTTTGATAAAAGACTAATATATTTATTTGTTAAAATGGCTCTTGCGGCGGCTACGAAAAATGAGGTTCTTGTAACTCCTTTCTTTACATCGGATTCATCTTGTTGTAGTTGTAATAATTGTTGTTGTCTAAGTAATTGTTGTTGTTGTTCCATTAAAATTTGCTCTTGTAATAATTTTTGTTGTTGTTGATTTTGTAATAATTGTTGTTTTAATAATTGTTCTTGTTGTTGTAATTGTTGTTGTTGTTCATTAAAAATTGGTGATGATATTCTTATATTATCTGTACTATTTCTATTTAATAATTTAGTTTCATTATTATTGTCAATATTTATAAATTGAGTTTCCATTTTTTTAAAAAAAATAAAATTTTATATTATTATTATTATTATTATTATTTTATATTTAAATTTATATTACAAAAAAAAATTATACAAAAAATTTATTTATTTAATATTCAAGTTATTTTTTTATTTATTTTTAACACTAAACAAAAAAAAGAATTGGTGTTTTTGGAATATTTTTTTTTATTATTTTTTGGGAATTTAAAAAATTTTATATTAAAATTAATTATATTATCCTTTTTTTTAAAAAAAAGGCTATTTTATAAATAGTTTTTTTTTTAAAATTTTTTGTGATTTGATATTATTATATAATTGTTAAAAAAAAATATTTATAATTTATATATTTGTTAATAGCTGATGTTTTATTTGTTGTTATGAAAAATTAAGAAAAAAAAAATATTATAAAAAAAATAAAAAATAAAAAAAAAGAAAAAAGAAAAATAAAAAAATTATATAAATGAATCCACATATCAGTTTTTTTAAGCAAAATCAAAATGAAAGCTTTCGTTGCATATTATGGATATACCATTTTGATAGAGCCAACAATTTTGCAGAGATTTCGCGAAAAAAAAAATTTTAAAAAAAAAAAATTAAAAATTTGTGGTGCGCACTTTTGATGAAATTTAAAAATTTTTAAATATAAAAAAAAAAAAAAAAAAAAAGAGGATTATGATATAAAATATTTTTTTTAGATAGATATTTATACATTAATTACAACCTACAAAACGTAAAACAACTATTTTTAACCATAAATTATATTTTTTTATTTTTTTATTTATTTTTTTTTATTTATATTTTAATTTAAGTTTATATAAAAAAATATGAATGTTTAAAAAAACACGAAATTTCTTAATTATGATGCTTTGATTATATGTTTTTATTTTATTATTTATTATTATTTTTAATATTTTTCATAATTA